GTTTTATTACAAACAGAAAGTAAAAAGTAATATTTTTTATATTTTCTTATGAAATGACAATAGATTTGAAGCTTAGGGGGTTTCTGGTAATAAATAGAAAAGGAAAGAACAAGAAACAATGTTTGACAATTAAAGATATAAACAAGGTTTAGACCAAAAGCTCTTCAACCGATTTTTGCATCTGCAATCCACCGGTAATGGCGCCCCCTTCTTCTCCATCCACGTTCACCTGCAAAAACCTCTTCGCAATAACCCTAATCATCGTCTTCCTCCTTTCTTGTTGTACCCACAGTCCACGAGTACAAGCCCTTAAAGCACCAATCAGACCACAAGACATACTCCCACTTTTACCCCGCCAAGTTTCATGGCCTATTCTCAACACTTTCCGAGGCGCCGCCGATCTTCTGCCGAGCTTCGTCGGAGCAGCGGCTATTGCAAATAATTCGTTGTTGCATTGGAAAGGGTCTTGCTTTTATGAGAACACTGCGTGGTTAGAGCTTCATAACAAAAGTGGTAGTGAATTTGGTGGAGGCACTCTTCATATCAAGGTCTATTGCCTTTTCATCCTCTATGAATTGTTGTTCACTTTTGATTTGGATAATTCGTGATTGGCATGTACGTTATTCGTTTCTTAATCTTGTAACAATTTAGCGGTTTCTTCTTTTTCAAATTTCTTTGAGGGAGAATATATTCATTTAATTTGATCTTTCGAGGTAAAACTAAGTTCTATGTCGAGGGTTTTCTCTAAAGCTCTATGCTAATAGATATTGGAAAGCTGTTGAGTTTATTTGGTTCAAATTAAAGTTTTAGGAGGTGTTTAGGTGTGATTTCTGATTATTTAAACCCTAAATAATGACCACAGTCATAATTATAACCAGTTTTTGACAATTTTAGATCTCCAAAGTCCAAACACCCCTTTATACGTGTTATTTGAAATTTGAGAAGTGATTATATGGATAAGCATGTGGTGCTATCAATTGTTTTGTTTCTCATCAATTTGGTGACTAAAGATCAAGACTTTTGAAAAATTTGTGTGGCAAGGAAAAATATCCTTTATTGGAAGTTAGTGGATTATGAATGTGATGAAAAAGTTTCTGCTTCTAATATTTTAGGTAAAGTGATTATGATGATGATTTCTTCATTAATTAAGATCAAAAGATAATCAAATTTAGAATAAAAGGTAAGAAGTTGCCTGGAAGAAAATGATTATTGAGATGAATTTAAAGTTACTTACCCTAGCTTTAATCAACTGATTATCATGTTCTTAGTTTCAAATTAAGATGTTGTTTCTTTTTGACTTAATGTTCTAAAAACAACTTAATTGATAACGTCAAGAAAAAGGAGACTTTCTTAATCAAGTCCTAACTTTTTACAGATTTTCCCTAAACCCTATACCCTAAATGGCGTTGCTTTTGATTTCGGATTATGTTTATCCCGTGTTTTGAATTGATGTTACTTTCTTCATTTCTTTAGGTAAGCAAGGCACACAGTTGGACATGTATGGATATTTACGTCTTTGCCACTCCATATCGTGTGACATGGGACTACTATTTTATATCCCGTGAGCATACCCTTGAGTTTGATGAGTGGGGAGGGAAAGCCGAGTATGAATATGTAAGTTAATAAATTTGATTACTATTGATGATTGGCAAAATACAGAAAAAAACCACTTGTACTTTCTCCATTTTATCAATTTAGCCACTTAACTACTATTTGTAATGATTAAACAATTATATTGTTCAAAAAAACCATTTTCCCAAACATGGTTTTGATATATTGGCAAAGCACAATATTAAAAAAAAAAAACAATAGTCTAATGTCTAAACTCTAAATGTTAAAAATGGTGAAAGTACGTTGTCATTTTTTGTATTTCATTTATAGTAGTACACAAACTCATACCATTACCAATTACATCTCTTTATTTTCAAAAGGTAAAACGTAAAGGAGTTTCAATTTTCCTCATGGAAGCTGGGATGATAGGAACCCTAGAAGCATTATGGGAGGTTTTCCCCCTTTTCACAAACACCGGATGGGGGGAAACTTCAAATCTTGCTTTTCTCAAAAAACATATGGGAGCTAATTTTGAAGAAAGATCCGGGCCATTTGTAACAAATGTTACGGTTGATGATATACACTCGGGTGACTTTCTTGCAATATCAAAGATCCGCGGGCGATGGGGAGGGTTTGAGACCCTTGAAAAATGGGTATCTGGGGCGTATGCGGGTCATTCTGCTGTTTGCTTGAGGGACCCGGATGGGAATCTATGGGTTGGGGAATCTGGACATGAAGATGATGAGGTAAAATGTGCAATTTTGACCCATTTACCAAAAAGTGAGTCGATTTTGGGTTATGTTAATTTGGTAAAAATGAAACGAGTGAAAAGTTAAAACTCTGCAAAAAATGAAACACGTTGAAACTTGAAAGTTGCCCAACGTGTATTTAAATCTTACAACCTTCTAAATTGTTTTATTCAAGAAAAAAGATCTAAATTAAAGAAATAATCATTAAAATGACAAAATCACCTATTTGTAATTTGATTGTAGGGTCAAGATGTAATTGCTTTATTGCCATGGGACGAATGGTGGGAGTTTGAAGTGACAAAAGATGATTCTAATCCGCATATCGCATTGCTTCCTTTACATCCCGACCTTCGCTCAAAGTTTAATGAGACTGCAGCATGGGAGTATGCACAAAGCATGATAGGGTTGCCATATGGTTATCATAATTTAATATTTAGTTGGATTGACACCATCAGCGATAACTACCCACCACCGTTGGATGCTAATCTGGTACCAAATTACCTTAATGCCCGTTTAAGTATTACACATAACAAGATAAAACAAAACAGAACAGGTTGCACTGCATTTAGCTTGCAATGGACTCGGTCCCATCCCAGACCGGTCTCAATAAGACAAAGGTTGTACTTTTCTGTCAATAAGACAAAAGTTGTACTTTTTGTGCTGTCTAAAAAAAGTAGAACAAGGTGGGACATTGATAGACTCTTGTCCCATCAACATTAGTCTGGTGGGCCAATGCCAATGCATGTCAAATGCAGTATAATTTTTTGTCATTTTTGTCATGTCATGTTTAGTGGGTCATTCTTTATTTTTGAGTGCTTTAACTATTTTTTTTTTATCATGGTACAGGTCGCTTCAGTTATGACCGTGTGGAATCAACTGCAGCCTGCATATGCGGCTAATATGTGGAACGAAGCCTTGAATAAGCGGCTTGGTACTAAGGTGGGCTGGTGATGAGAAGGGCATTCATGTCTTTTACACACGAGAGATTAAGAGAGAGAGAGTCCATGTCCCACCTTGTTTCACCTTTTTGGGTTGGATAAAAAATTGCAACTTTTGTCTCATTGACATCAGTCTCAACCCTAGCATGAAAAGTCATGTCATAACAAATGAGGCCTACATTATGTTACTTGGAGTTTTCGTTCTATCATTTTAAATTTGTGTATTTTGATGTTGGTTTATTCCTTTTTCCACAGGGTCTTGATCTTCCGGATATTTTAGTCGAAGTTGAAAAGCGTGGTTCATCTTTTGCTGAATTATTGACTATTCCTGAACAAGATGACTGGGTATATGCTGATGGAAAGTCAACTTCTTGTGTTGCTTTTGTCCTTGAAATGTATAAGGAAGCCGGACTTTTTGGGAATCTTGCAAGCGAAATCCAAGTTACAGAGTTCACAGTGAGTCGTTTAATATCAGAGCATGATTTATACATGTAAATAAATTAAATTGCCTGCCATCAACCAATCTCAATGCCTAAAAAAGGAAGACGTTGTAATGATGTTGGGAAAATGGTCTCAAAAATCACAAACAACCCGCCCAACAAAAAATAATGGAGAAATAAGAACACAAGAATGTATATGAATAAGTCATAAATTGAACAAAAACCATGAATGAACCTCAAAGAGAGAACAAATTTTACAATTACATAGACTAATCTCTCAAGCCAACCCCACACTCTCCAAAAATTTAACTTGCCCTTTCGACACTCTAAAACAAAAGAAAAGAAATGAATCAAATACTTTGTAGTATATTTTGATTGGGGCACTTTAGGGAACCAAAACACTAGGCCTTTTATATGCATGGAGTCCACTCCACCTTTTCGTGTTCCTTTTCCATCAATGGGTTCTTGCCTCTTTTATCCCTAAGAAGCATCTGGGGATGTATATATTTAACTTTTTTTGTTTATGCAGATAAAGGATGCGTACATGCTCAACTTTTTTGAAGACGATTTGAGTCGTTTGCCAAAGTGGTGTAACGAAGGGGACACAGTAGAGCTTCCATTTTGTCAAATCAAAGGCAAGTATCGAATGGAACTTCCCGGATACAATACTATGAATCCGTACCCTTATATGACCGAAAACTGCCCATCACTACCTCCGGACTATTTTAGGCCGGAATATTGCTAAAGCTACGAGTTTTTGTCTTCATTTGATGGTGTTGTCGTATAAAATGGTAGGATCCTAATTCGCTTATCCTTTTTAGGATCATGAAACATGGAGACATACATTAGACAAAAGTCATAACATGAACCACTTGTAGTTGTATATAATTTGATTATGTTAGACACGTGGAGTAGTAGATTGTTTATTGTAATTCTACTGCTCGAGTGTAATGAATTTTATGTGTAAAGATCCATCTTTTATACCTATAAAATTTGGAGGGCGTATCATCTCTTTATTGATGTACTTTGGTTGAGTGAAATCCTAAAAGTGAAGTTTCGGCTTCATTTTAGAACCAAACTGTATCAATAACATGTATTACCAATTGAAACATGATTGCATACTTGTGACAGTTATGTAAATTGGTCAAACAGTGAAACATTGTTGCATAAATAAGTAAACAAATAAGTGATTATAGAATGAAACATGGTTGTATTTCTCGTCTAAGAAACCACTTGTTGCATAAATTGAGAAAAAAGATTAAAGATAGGTGTATTTCCACCATTTTAAAGAAAAATAACAATTAGATGTTGATTGTTTCATGCCAGCAAATCAAGCAATAACAACACTAACAGGGAATAGCTTAGTATGTGAACCCAAAAGCACAACACAATTCTATTTTCAAGAAACATGATTACCATATTTGGTATACACAACACAACAATCATTTGGATTACATACACGTTAACACTACAGATCACACAATTTATAATCAAATTCTCATTCTGCCTTTGCTGAAAAATGGTTACCTCCAGTGACAATCTTGTACAGATAAAATGCTGTCATCACTCCACTGCAACAATATCCAAAACATACAGCAACTTCATTAGAAAACTATATACATGATGGAGACTAAAAGTAAATCTCATTTCACTTAATGGTTGTTTCTTTTTTCTTTTTACCCATCCCATATTTGTAACGTGGCTGAATGGGGTATACAGCATTTTGTTGTATAAATGTTGTATACATAAAGTTTGTTTTTCAATAAAAAACAGTCTGAACGAGACTAGATGATCATTTTATCCATACATTGCAAAAAAAACAAATTTAACAATATTCATTGGGAGGAAAAAAGAAGGCAAATGTAAAGCGTTAGTGTCTTGATACATTGAGACAGGTTTTTTTATTGGCTTAGCCATTAATTCATTCTGTTCAGATTAAGTCAAAAAAAGAAACAACCTTATATAGTGGTCCAGATTAAATGCTTAACACATTAAGTCAAAAAGAAACAACCCCTTAATCTCATAAGCTATATGAGTTTTTTTTGGGACTTAATATCATCCAAAACATGAGAAATTTATCAAATTATGTTACCTGATACCAGCAACAACACCAGCAGGCATTATCTTCCCAGTTTCAGTGTATCGCTGTCCCATAACCCATGTAAGAGCAGCAGCAATAACTGAGATATCAATTCACCAAACATGTTAACAAGCTATCTTTTACCAAACAAAAAGGTAATATTTCCGTCTGTGAAGTGATTTTTTCCACATCAGACATGGCATAAGTGATATTTGTGTTACCACAAACTCTTTTGGGAGTTTTAGAAACATATTTCGATAGTATTTCTTGGATCCATCAAATCAGGCATTTCATCGAACACTTTCCATGCGAATACATGTTAAAGAACGTGATACTTACCAGTTTCAAGTATCAACCCAAACCATGAGTTCTTCCGCTTGTGGAATGCATTGAGAGTGAGATACGAAGCGAGGAACAGCAATAGTCCAGTGCCCACACCACCAGCCAACGACGTCGTGCTCCCTTTTCTTGCAAACCCAATAATCCCACCGCAGAACACTATGATCCCGTAGGGGATTGTGAAGCAGAAATCATGCATTTTCAAGAGTGACAAGATTAGGGATTTAGGCGATGAAGATTAGGGTTTTCAGCGATCGCGATCGGAAGATCTTTAAAGGGTTTGATTTGAATAGATGGATTTGAGGAAGTCTCCCAAGAATCGATATCTAGAAGGTCAACGTTTCTGTTTTGCAGTGGTTGGCTTACCGCGGCAAAAAGACTATTTGGTCGAAATTATCCTTTTTTGTTTGCTCGTGATTTTTGGTCAAAATTATCCCAATGATTAAAATGTTAAAATTATCCTGGTAACTTCAGAATTGTTTTTATAAAAAAAAAATGGGTAAGATATATATTTAACAAATAATTATTTTTTACAAAATCATTATGAATTTTGTATTACCTACAAATTGATTTTTTGGATGGTCGTTATCATAAAAACCTTACACATATTCATTATATATAAAGTAGATTTCATATATATATTAATGTATTTTTTTGTAATATATTAGTTTTTTGATCTTCTTGGGTCTTATGAGATGTGAACATTTAAAAGAGATTTTGTAATTCGCAATTGTACACATTTCACAATTGATAGTCATTTAATATGAATAGTCAAGAAAAGATCAATTTATTAGATAGACTTATACCATTTTGGTTAGTTGTGTAATTATCCAAATAATATAGTAAACATATAATGTATTAGGGTTAATATCGTAAATTTGAGTAATGCAAGTGGGCAACCGACGTAGGGGTGGGATTGGTCCTCTTATTAAGGTAGAACCTTCTTTATTAGGTAAAGTAAGTAGCCACGCTATAAAGGTCAACTGAAATTTTCAGATTAGAGTGAATCACATAATTAGTCCCTTAACCATTCTCTTCCTTCCACTTTTGCACCTCAAAAGATTCATTTAGCTCCCTTAATTATCACATACTTGTTAAGATTTGGTATATCATTAAAGAAAGATTATTCTGTGTTAAGATATGTTTGGTTATTAGATAGATCAGAGCAGCAAAATACTTATATATTTCAAACTATATATCAAGCACTTCCATCATATGGATAAGCATTACAAATAGCAGATACAGGTGCTACAAGTCATGATGATATTGTCATTAATAGTATTGAAGGTTTGATGACATCATTCTTAAATCCGTCAAAGTGTGATTTTATAGTCTTGCGTAAACTTCTAACAACATAAAATGTTTTTGTTTGATGACACTAAAACATCAACAAAACATATATGAAATTTATATTAAAAAAAAAAAACGTACCATTTTGGCAACATTTATTACACAAGACTGAAGAACATAACAGAACAAATATTGCAATACAATTATAAAAAAAACATTGCAAACACCATAAGGTTAACATAGAAATCTAAGAATTGCCTTAAAAAGAACATACAAAACACAAGAAACAGAAATGGAAACAGAAACTAAATAAAAGATTATGAATTCATAAGGTCAAATTACCAACAAGAGTACAAAAAACATCCATAAAAATCTAAAAAAAAAAACAACGAAAAATCAGTACAAAAAATCCAAAATTACAACAACACAAGCCCAAGTTCAGATGATCTTAACATACTCTTAATCCTGTAATTATACAAATAATAATGAAGCTTACCATCACCAGGCCCATACTTCAACTCCTTCAAAAACCCTTCATTATGCATCACATCCAACGCATTAAAAACATCAAAATCCATCTGTTTGGCCACAATAAGTGCATCATTCATCAACTGAATCAAAGGAGTCTTTGTTGCCACATTATAATACGAATAAGCTGCTTTCAAATTCGAATGATTCGGGTGTCCAAGAATCGAAGATGGCAAACTGTAAAAACTACAAAAATCAGTCACTTCATGAGTCTCTTGACTTTCAACCACAAAACTATCAACAACACCTTCTTTAGGAACAATCCAATGTTCAACATCCATTTCATCAAAATCAGGTGCCACGATAAACTCCAGTAGATAAGCTTTCAACAGTCTTGTGACACTAGGAACATCACGAAGCTCCATTTTTCTAAATCCGGGTGTCAGGGGCGAATCGGGTAATTTATAAAGTTTCATTGTTCTACTCATGGTCATCCTAGGACCGAGTCTTGAAAACCCAACATCGATAAGTTTTTTAGGGTTTAAAGATCTGTGCCAATATTGACATGAAGTTATGGGAGTAGGAAGAACAACTCCAGCTGTGTAGGCAGCTTGCCAGATATTTTCCAAATGTACCCTTCGTGTAACCTCTTTGATCATAACAGGGGCTAATCTTTTTGATCTAAGTTTCTTGTGAACACACAAGAAGTTGACTTCTGCCATTGTTATAATCTCGTTTTGAACTCGGATTTTGGCGGGGATTCCGGTTATGAAAGCAACTAACTTTTTTGATGATTTGACACGTACACCTATGTGCCAGGTTTTGAAGTAACCAGGAGGGTGTAGGGCCCACTGGAGAAACTGTTTGGAGTAATTGAATCTGAACATGTTTTCATCATCTTCTACATAGTTGTTTGAGAGGAGGTTGTAGACTTCAAGACAGGTTTCTTCAGAGCTCATATCACAAGTGACCCATTCGTAAAGATTTGGAAGATTGTAGGGTTCTTGTTTGACTTCAGATAATGGTGTTGGAGGTTCGATTGGGCCTTCGGGTAAGCTAGTGTCGCGTAGATCTTTGAATTGTCCTACGGGTTGTGTTTCCCAGAATTTGTGCCTTTGTGAAACAGAGAGGGTTTCTTGAATCTCTCTTGATAATTCATCAATTGGTGCTGCTTCGGTTTTGATAATCTCTGAATTTTGATTGGTGGTATCATCGTTAACTGAACCATTGTCTGCCATTGTCAGCTGAACCCTAGATTTATTTGGAAGATGAACATATTAAAATTGGACCAAAATCATGCCAAAAGAGAAGGAAAAGAAAATTCGGCAGTGATTTCAGAAGCCAAATCTAACAATTTTGAATGCTCATAACATCAACATTTTTATCCGCTTTACTTGGTTTACAAGTCGAGTTAGTTGTCAAATTTTCTCCAAATTTAACGAATCGATTTCATTTTCAAAACTTACTCCCTCGATATCACAATCAAGTACATCTATATCTTTCCACGGATAAATCTAAAACCATACAAGTTCTCATTAGTTGAGAAAATTCAAAAAATTATGCACATATGAACGATCTTCGGAAATCGGAACTAACAGTGCAGAGCAATCGAATCAAGAAACAAGATAACATATCATGAAATTCGGAACCATTTTGATCAACTGAAATTGCTTGTAACGAAGTGAACAAAGAAGATTGAAATTACCGTTGGTGCAGACCTGAAGTTGATCAAGCGATCGGAGATATGCAGAGCTTTAATGGTTGAATGCTCAGGCGACGGCAGGCAGCTGAAAATAGCCCTAGCGGCAAATCTGAGGGAATATATACGCAATCACATTACAGTAGTACGACACATCGAGATTCGAGGGTAGTTTCGTAAATTAACAAGTTAGCCGGTTTACTTATTCCTTGGCCCGCCCACTTTGGGCCCGTTTACCATTCAAGTCAAATATTTTTTTTATTAATATATCCTTATTTATCCTTATTCTATATGATTTATCATTATTTAAATATAAGTTATTAGTTGACATAAATATGTAAATAATTAAAAAATGATAAAATAATTATATGGATGTAATTTTTGTAATATTTGATATTTGTATATTTTGAAAATTTTGATAATTAATTTTTTATAGTGTAAATTACTATAAAATATATTTATTTTTATTTGTACATGTAAATAGATAAATAACTATTCAAAAAATAATAGAAATTTAATAACTATCAAAAAACTTTTTTCAAATAGTAGAAAGTTGTATATACTATTGGAGATGCTGTAAGCCATAACTCATAATTATTTTTTTCTAGATGAGAGACTGCGTAAAATAATATCTTGTGTTTTTCTTCCAAATGTATAAATAGTATATTTTACTAAATCGATGAAAAAATCATGTCTTTTTTCAATAATGTTCTTTCATGGGTATAAAATCATATGTGTTTTTCAATAATGATTGTCATGTGATATTACATAGACACTGCATATCAAAATAAAAATTGATTTTTTTTTATTATAAGAGCACCCACATCGGCGGTGCTTGCAAATCATTTGCAAATGCCACATGTGTACAATGCTTGGTGGAAAAGTTAATATATTGATTTAAAAACTAATACATATCAAGTGGATGAAAAGTTAATATATTGATTAAAAATAGTTTGCATCTTTATTCTCCTCACATCATCTATATAGGTTGATTAAAAAATTAATAAACTACATTTGCAAGGTTTGCACAGGTTGGAAGATTAAGTCTTATGTGGCAATGAAATATTGTTTGGTGGCATTGCAAAAGAATTTTGAAAGACCCGGTGTGGAAGGTCTAAGATTTCCAAAACATAATGTTTGTACATGAAAAAGTAAACAAATGACAAGTGAATTTTACTTGGGGTCAAATAAATGACAAAAAGAGTTTATCAATAATCAATCAAGAGTTGTAAATGACGAACTCTGTTTATATATTACATTACATATGTCGTCTTCTTAAACCAACATTTTTCATGTATGGACATGGCCGCCAACAACAAGAGATAGCATCGTTCATCAACGATTGTAAACAATAAACTTTTTTCATATTTTATTGTATACAAATATAAAATGTTTTTCTTCAAATATCTTCAAACATGCAAGTTGGTTCGTTCATTGGCCTTAACATATGAAAATATGTTTTTTTTTCTCAACTGTGCAAGTTGATTAACGTAGTACATGACAAAACGAATTGCATTGTATTTGATGTAAACTTGATAAGACCCAAACCCGTGACAACAAAAACTACAATCTTTTATAAAAGATATGCTCTTGGGACAAATCCGTTCGCTGTAAATTTATATCTCAAGACACTGTAATTGCATGCCTTTATATGTATCAAAATCATATTTTGTCCTTTAGAAACCAAGTATGTTAAACTCACTCGTATTTATTTATACATAACTGTATTATATATCTCGTTTGCTTCCGTTCTGTATATTTGTTTTACATGTTAACCACAACTTTTTTTTTGTATTGTAATCGGTGCGCATTGGACGAGACCGATGCTAATGTGACAAACACTGTAACTTCTGTCTGACAAGGACACTCACCTCTCTCGTCTGTGAAAAGACATGAATGCCCTCCTCATCCTCATTGTATTTGATACCAAAAGGCTTGAACAAGTCCCGTGTAACATAACATAACAGACAAAGCCTTTTACCAAATCAACTAACAACAAGAAGGCATATAACATATTTGATAGTTGGGGTTATGTAATTACACACAAGTATTAATAAATTACTAATACTATATAATACATGATTAACAAATGTTGTCATGTATTTATTTACGTGTTAAGCTTGTTTTGTTTCCTTAGTAGCAACACAGTCTGAAGTGATTAAGGAGGTTATCCAGACCTCATCAGATTTCACAGGCTCATCATCATCATTCCTATGCCAACTCCAAAAGGCATGACTTGAGTTCACTATCTTCAACTCACCATGACCAAAACTCGCTTCACGAAACACTGACCATTCTGGCGATGGCTCCTTGTACCTGTCAAATTTCCCAACAACACCAACCTACTTATATTTCTATGCCAATAATAACAACCTACTTTATTTTTTACCCCGTAATTACATTTCTCTACAAATCTAGGCAATCTGCTTCATCTGTGACATATTGCTATTATTGGTACATAAATGTTAGTACGTTGCTAATGGGTAAAGAATAGTAATGTACTTTATTTTTACCCACAATAGCGACTATGTTTTTGGCGGACTAGCTGATAAAACATGACATTTGATAAAACTAGCTGATAAGTTAGCTGAAATATATAAAAGGGCATGTAGAAGATTGAGTTTTTTTTATAATTAATAAAGGGTATATTTGGAAGAATTTAAAAAAAAAAAAAAAGCTCAATAAGCTTGTTGAAACGTTAGTGTGAGTAGATGTACTTTTTTTACCGATACTAACAATGTAGTTACATTTCTTTACCGATAATAGCAATGTAACTTATCTATTACTCATAACAAACAACAGCATACTTATATTTTTACTCATAATAGCAAGATCCTTACATTTCCCTACTAATATGGGCAATGTACTTTTATTTTTTTTACATAATGCCATTACCAGTAAAGTAAGTACATTGCTGTTATGGGTAAGAAATCGTAAGTACATTGACATTATATGTTTAGAAATGTAAATGCATTGCTATTATGAGTAAAAAACAAATTACATTCTACAAGTTTCAAGTCTCAGTTTACATATTCCTTTCATTGGTAAAAAAAGATGTTAAGGTAAGGTACGTTGCTATTACGGGTAAGAAAATGTAAGTGAATTGCCTTTATTGAAAAAAAAGAGTAAAGGGCATTGCTATTTTCAGTTACTGAAAAAGGACTTACTTTTGTGCTAGCCCTTCTTTGTTTCCTCCATCTCCAATTGTCACGTGGACAGCACCACACGGGTTTGATTTCCCATTGTAAACACGTTTCTGACAAACAAAAAGATAACCACATCGAAGTCAATTTCAAATACTAAAGAAAAGTATGAAACTAGCAATAAGGGGCAGTTTGGTAAATCGCGCTGAATGTTGAACCGAATGGTTCCAACCTCTTAAGGATTAAGAGAAGGTAATGTTGCTTAACCGTTTAGAGACAGTTCCAAGGATTTTGATTCGTTCAGAGCTTGTACCAAACACCCTGACTACTGACTGACTGATTCAGATATTACCAAACAGCCCCTAAGGTTATAAGAGTGGTACCGTGCGTTCATAAGCATGCACATGGCCGGAAAAGACAAGATCAACACCAGCAGCATGAAGTAATGGCTCCATTGCTTCCATCATATCATCTCCTTCACCTTGATGAGCATAATTACTATTATACCATGGCACATGAAATAATGCAAGTAACCAAGGTGTCTTTTTTCGGTCTACCGTTGACAGATCTGCCTGTTGCCAGAGATTAACAATAATAACAGAAGACTATTTTAGTTCAATGTCATCCCAAAAGTAGATAAAAATATAAATCTCTTTCAAGTTTATAATTAATAATAAAATAATAGGAATCACATATTATTCACTTTAACAACATAGAAAGAAAACACGCACCTTCAACCAGTTGTATTGCTCAGAATTCACATCATAATCAGTATATGAACCAAGCATCACAACATGAGCCCCTGCAACTTCAAACGAATAATAAAGATTTGACATTGATCCACTTTCTTCATGAGGCATCTTCCATCTAGCATTATACGATTCAAACCCATCTTTAATAAACGGAATATTCTCCTTTTCATGATTCCCTTGTGTCACCATCCATGGCCTTGCACTTGCAAGTGGCTCCACAAGCTCCCCAAATGTATCCCACCTGCTCTGAATATAATCAGCATAAGAAAGATCACCAGGGAGAAGATGAAGATCATATTGACATAAATCAATATGGTCCAAAGTTGACTTTGTCCACCCAGTTTGACCTAAATCACCAGCCACAGCTAATGTAATTGGGAACTCTGATGGTGGAGTTTTGAGACTGAACTCGGGTCCTCTTCCTCCACATTTGTAATAGTAAACAGTGTTGTGTTCAAGTGGACCAATGACAGTGTGGTGGATTGTCCCTGAGGTGTAAAATAAGTAGCTATAAGAAGTAGTTTCTCCATGACTTCTAGAGGTGTATTTTCCAGGTGATGTTCCATATTCAACAAGTGAAGGAGAAGATGATTTGCTTGTAATCCATGTAACACGAATGTGTTTGTCCCCTGCCAATGACACATGCACCTGAAATGACTCTATTTGTTAGCACTGCTCTCACTAATACAGAAGGATTTCTTATCTTTTATGTTTTCATCAATGAGGTCATCAAACATGAGTAAAATGTAGAGATGAGTACATAACAATTAAACAAAGCCCCTTTTGAGTTACTCGGTTGTAAAAGATTAGTATATGTGTCCTGGTTTTTCATGTACTAGTGTAACTTGTAGGAACTTTTTCTTCTATAGAGCCCACCATATGGCTCTCATCATTGCCTTCGTGTATTCTTTATACCCTTTTTAAAACAATTGAAAACTTAGGAAAAAACTTTTCTGTCCTTTATGTGTCAACAAGAAGGGTTGTGTTGTTTAAATCTGAGAAAAGTCACAAAACACAGCATATTGCAAAAGGGAGCTTGTAAGCACCATAAGTGTAAGCTTTTCCATATACACCACAAAACAACCAGATGAAGAACAAGCATATCAAACAGATAGCAGAATTTACTAAAGTTATTACTAACAAGTAACAAACAGTGACATAATTTGAGTTCTTGAATGACCATTATATGGCAAGTACATTTACATTTTTCAACCTCAAATTTTAATCTGCAGAAGTGAATGCATGTATTTCCTAAGGATTAAAACAATACCTCTACACAATAATTTGGAGCATAATCAAGTAAACTAGCAAATGACAGATCAAAAGCTAGATTCTTCGATATTTAATAAACAAATAACAACAGAATAATGGAAACGAAAAGGTAAAGTCGGTGCAACATAAAAAAATACAACATAAGTATTCGGTATCTCCGGGACAATCTGTTCAATCAACAGATGGATAAATATATGAAACACCTCGATCTACAAGAAGCATAATATGACGAGCATAGTATTAAACAATACTAGAAAAAAAAAAGTAAGCAAATCAAACCTGTTGAGGTTGAGAGGAAGGCTTCGGATCCCACGGAAACTGTAAGTTCTTTCGAGGTGGTGGCCGGACGTAATCAGCAGCTACCGTTACGGCGTTGGCCACCACAACCACCGCCATCAACGGTAACAGTATTTTCAGCTTATTTGGCACCATTTTCAGCTGCGCTTTTTCGAACAGAGTGAATTCGACAGGTTTCATCTGGTCTGAATGAGACGGCATGTTCACTCCAAGTTCTATAGAAACTTACATATTTAACCCTTTATGATTGAAACGTTTCGAAATAGACCTTGTATTATGTATGGATTACAGCTTTTTTAAACTACCATCAATTATTGTCCCAACATAGAGCCAAATAGTCAATTTACTTTTGCTTTTTTTGCCCCCTTTATTATTATTGCTTTCTCTTTTTCAAACATTACTATTTAATTTATATCATGATTAGTATTCTTTGACATTTTATTATAAAGGCGTTTGATATTGTTTATTTAAGGACAAATGATATAAACTTTTTGTAGTTAGGTTTTAATCTATAAGCCATTTCTGGCTTTTTGTAGTAATAAGGTTATTTATAATATTTATTATATATATTTTAGCCAATTTTTTGTGATTAAAGATGATTTAGTGATAACCATTAACCATTTACATACTTACATGTTTTTTGCCCCTTTTATTGTTATTGTTTTCTCTTTTCCAAACATTACTATTTAAATTACATTATGATTAGTATTCTTTAACATTTATGAAAGGTTTTATACATACTAACACATATTCATAAGCAATGGAACCATATAACAATCTTTTATGTGTTCATGCAACCTATAAGGATCATACAGTTCATTATATTATTGCAACTACAATAGTAATAAGAATTACATACCTCTTTTGCAATTAGAAATTTCCTTACTTGAGGTCTTGTTCTTGCCACCTTGCTTTGATAATAATGATCCAAACCAGAATTTCTCTAATGAAATCGCACTCAAGAGGCAAAACAGCAACATTGAAAACTCCAAATAGCTACCAACACAAATAGTTGGAATGTTAATGCTAGAGCACAAGTTTCAAATTTGAGTTAAATGTTTTATTCTGCTTCATAAAAAAAAATTAATTTCCTCTAATTGTATAATCGATTAGGTGAATATCGGTGTGTTGGGCAGGTTAAATTATATAAAATTCTGACAAATATATAATGTTGAAAATAAATTATGTTATTAACATTAGATATGAAATAATAATTGTTTCACTGAATTGAATATCATATTATTCAATAATCACTACCGACGGTTTGCGTGTTAATGAAATTAAATATAAATAATTGTTTTATGTTACTTTTAAGCAATTAATTTAAAATTTTCTTATTTGATCGTTTTTTAATTTTGCCGTGATGTTTATTTGAAATATTAAAAGCTATTTGTAAATTGTGGAGCTTCAAATAAATGTCAATTTGGATTCATATGTATATTAAAATATTTAAACTTTTTTTTAACTATTTTAAAAAACAATCTTTGACTATTTGTTAATTTTATTTGATTTTTTGGATTTAACATCACATTTATATTAACAAATTAAATATAGTATTGTTAGGGTGTCAAACCCAACAAATAATAGAAGTACAATAGACTCTCAAATACATTGCTATAATACATTAAAAAAGTAGTACAAGGCAATCATAATTGATCCTCATAGACACATGGCTAATGTCTATATCTCTTTACACAAGGTACAAGTTAGTCACCAAATGGGGGAGTTATGTTTGCAATATATCAAAGAAACTACTAAATGAATAAAAAACCGAAAGAGAGTCCAAAATGTAAAGTTTCCAATCTTATCGTGTGTTTTACTATGTAGGTATTGCAATTCAATTGTAAAATGACATTAAATTAAACTTCATCTAAGTTGGTACTTGAAAGCATTAACAAGTTTAACACTTTCAATTCACCAAGTTGTTAAATTCAAAACAAACTCTTTGAAAATAACCTAATATTCTAATTAATGTGTAAACAAGCTCTTAAACAAAAATCAAAAAATTGCATTAAATTTTTGTGTGAGTGTTCCCGACAACATACGATACTCCTCATAAGCTCGGGAGCATAAGAATATGTGAATAAGGTTCATATTAAAATCATTCAATGAAAATCAATTTAATGTTTGTTACTAGTTCCATTTCACAAAATAATTTACGAATTTTGCAAATCAGATAACTTGAATGATCAAACTTTAATCCAATTGGCCAACAAGAAAATCAATTTGCAAATCATTAAATGAAAATCAATTTAATGTATGTTACTAGTTCCATTTCACACAATAATTTACGAATTTTGCAAATCAGATAACTTGAATGATCGAACTTTAATCCAATTGGCCAACAAGAATCAAAATCAGAATCAATCTTTTAATTGATATGAAACCGAGTTCACTAGATATAATTGAAAGAAAACGTCAAATCACATTCTTACGTTACAAACCAAAGTCAAAACACAGAATTGGCATATTGGGGTTTAGCCACATGTAACGTCCCAAAAATACTAAATAAAATTTTTTGTTTTAAATCAACAAAAATCATCAATCATTCATTCCAAAACCATCAAAGTGTGATAATATATAAAATAGTTATCGGAGTACAAATCATATCATAAAATGTGGAACCTAGTGGATGCGATGCAATCACGTCGAGCTCTTTTGTAACACCCATAAAATTCAATCCAATTTAAAACTTTTTAAAACATTTAAAATCATTAAGTTATTACAGTTTACTTTCAAAATAATTTAAACATCAGAGTATCCCCATAATCAATCATGAAAATGTAAGGAGGTGCACGATCACGCCTTCGCCTTCCCGCGATCATCATAATACCTGAAACAATAATTGATAGATGTAAGCTCGAAGGCTTAGTGAGTTACCCCCAAAATACCAACGTCATACAGATATAACCATATCATATAAACATATAAGCAAACAACATGCATAATTAGCCATCAGTATGACTAGACCAAATCCTGGTCCTCAGTCTATCTGGACCGCTCTCCGAGCCCTCGGCACGTCTGGACCGCCCTCCTCGGGGCCTTCAGCCTATCCGGACCGCTCGTTGGGCCTTCGGCCTGACTAGATTTGCCCGGCCCGGGCTTGCAGTCTACCCGGTCCGCCCAGGGTATCTTGGCCTACTACACACAGCAGGACCTGCCTCAACCCTTTCCCCAAACCAACAAACATGTGCACATACATATAAACAAGTAAACATGCAGATCTAACAGATCACTAACATGACAACCATCCTATAACCAGGATACCGATCTAACCGATCTCTAGCATGGCAACCATCCTAAACCAGGATGAAATCTAACATAGCAACCATCATAAACCAGGATGAAATCTAACATAGCAATAACATAGCAACCATCCTAAACCAGGATGTAATATAACATAGCAACCATCCTAAACCAGGATGAAATCTAGCATAGCAATAATATAGCAACCATCCTAAACCAGAATGTAAATCATAAAGGGTCGGCCTTGGTGCCGTATACCCTGTTGATATAGTGAGGAGAACTCACCTGAATCAAAGAGTTGAATCCCAATAACGGCTAGCCCAAACCACCTGATACCAATAAGGGTAAATCCTCAGTCTAAGACTCATAGTCATATACTTAATAGAATGAAATTTGTGATTCGTTAAACCAAATTATCGATCGCACCGCTAAGTGGCCAACTTAATTATATAACTCAAAAATAATGTTTTTATCTTTAATCAAAACTTGATTTCACTGGTTCTATGAATTTGAAGGACTCCATTAATTTAATTCATAATTATATACACCCAAATTGCTAGCCACGGGCCCATATGATATCTTCTATCCCATTTAAATTTATATCTCTTCAAAGGGAGTCCATTAGAACAAAGTAGTCCACAATCTATATTTCCTTGAGAGTTTGAGTCCATAAGAAAGAAAACCCAAAATAAAATGAAACCCACACTTAAATTAGTCCACTGATGGCATAGGCCCAATTGGTAAAACTTAATATAATTTGGGTACACAGCACGTCAGAGAAGACGTATACCTGTGGCCTTCATCTTCAACGCAGGCGTTAGCTTCCAGCAATACATCCATCATCGGCCATGGATTCCTCACCAAAAACGTCTCTTTCTTTTCCAGCAGTCCAAGCAATCCGGTCGACATCACTCCAGCGACCATAACCCCACAAGTTCTTCCATTCTAGCACATTGTCGGAGTTGCAAGAGCTCCTGCTTCATCCTCAACATCTTGTCGCGCTCCTGCACCGACATCCTCTCCTATCTCGACCATCATCATCACGCGGACAGATGGTTCTAGAGGAACTAGATGACCCTCCGATGTCTGCACCGTCATCGGGGTTGAGCTCATCGCTCAACCCCTCCGGCTGCTTCTCCGATCTTATTAACCATTAACGGGAACCTCCAAGCGATCTACTGAAGTTGTGCAGCTTAGAGCTTGATTTCTTAGCAGAAAATTCCATCAAACTCACCATGTTACTTCTTTCCTCTCGATACATCATCTTTCTATGGCTTCTTTCCGCTCATTCCAACCGTGATAAATGCACCCATATACTCCCAAATATGCTAGGGTTTTGTTCTTATACTGATTTGATGCAGGAGCAGCAACCAACAGGAGGCAGATCCCTCCTTCACGCGTTGTCGATAACAGGGGGGACCAGATGCATAATTTCGTAGATAGGCATAATTAGTCCCTGGTGTTTGGTGACTTTACACATATAACCCCTTCACCCTATATTCCATTCAAACTAAGTTCCTAAAATGACACAATGGACCCTCCTATTTCATTCTTCCTTCATTAAGGTCATTGCATATATTATTATTATTATTATTATTTACTTATTTATTTATTTAATAACTTGACTATTTGATGACAAAATCTTGAAATTACCTTCTTAAAAATAAAACCCTAATGACCTCCCATTAATATTTGATTATTCCGCTAAAAATATTAGTTTAAACAAAGCAGAGTGTTACATCTTCCCCTTGGAACCGGAAGTACCTGAAATTTAAACATAAAACGTAAGCATAAAGCTTAGTGAATTCCCCAAAATACCGCATATCATACATAAAAATCAGCTCCAGGCTATAACGGGTCTATTTCGCCCCCATGTCTATTTCACCCCCGAGTCTGTTTCAACTCAATCGGTATTTTTCAACCGAACGGGTCTATTTCACCCCCGGGTCTATTTCACCCCTGAGTCCCTATTGACTTTGTCGGTATTTTTCAACTGTACGGTCTCCCCTGGGTCTATTTCACCCCACATACATATAGCATACATGCATACAGCAAGAGTCACAAAGACAACAAGCACATATGACACCTAGTGTCCTACAATACAGTTTGAAGACTCACCTCAATCGATAACAGGTAAATCTCACACCCGAGCTGTTGGTAAGAGAATCTCCTCACACTATACACATCAAAACCAAACCATAATTATAAAATAAGGTAATACCCTGGTTAACGAGTCTAAAAGCCAATGCTAATCCATATTTAGGCAAAAAACCATGTTGCCCTTCTAAGTCCTCAACCCCCTCACAGTTGACCATAGGTCAAACTGGTCAAAAGACAACAGTCAAAGCCCATTTGACTTACGCCATGCATACCCAATCTACGCCATGCGTAGTGGTACGTCATGCGTACTCAGAGTACGCCATGCGTACCATGCTATTAAGACAATTCCATTTTTAGCTCTTAATCCACAAGACCAACCATCTATTACTCATATATGGTCCTAATAAATGTCTAAAGTGATAAAGTTTCTAACTTTATGCATTTTCATGACTTAAAAGAGAACAATACCAAATTCCAAGTCCAAAACACACTCCAATGCCCAAATACTCATGCATGAAAGGATGGGAGTGACCAAGATCACATTTTTATCACTCTACAAGCTCATAAATGCTAGGAAATGCCATTCATGAGGCCTGGAGTAACTCAAACTCACTAGACCCAAGATCAAGGGACAAAAAGCTCATAAAACTCTTAACAAGCTATATACATCCAATGAAGCATCAAGGTTCAAGCTTTACACCTCCTGGAAGATGTTAAAGAAGAGTATAGTCTGGATCTACAAGCTTTGGACTCCCCAAGCACACCTTCAATGACCTCCTTCTTCTTAAAACACACAAGGAACACTCAATGCTTCAAAATCCTCACAATATGGTTAGGGTTTCGATTTGTATGCTCAATAGGGTGAAGGTTGATGATAAGAATGACCTCAAGGGGTTAGAGTCCTTAAATATGGTTTAAAACCCTTAAATTATGGTTTTTACTCTGCGCAGTTACGCACTGTGTACCATAAGCTACGCTATGCATACCATAAGCTACGTCATGCGTAGCTTACTAATTGTAATTGTTTAATAGTTGAGCAAGAGGTTCTAGAACCTTCCCCTATGGAGGTGGACGGTTTCTTGGATGGTAATATAGTGTTTTTAGATTATCCCTTATAGATAATTAGGGAGTAGATAATTACCAAATTTGAGATATTAATATAATATTCAAATTAGGTTATCTAGGGTTTCATAACTCAACTATATAAAGACCCCAAGGGCTTCAAATTTCGGCCACTCCATTCTCACAAGCCAAGGCCAAAATTTCCAATTCCACTCTCCTATCTCTTTAAGCCTATTTGTTGCTAGGGTTGGGTGTGAACCATCAGAGGCACGGGATTTCTGGTGTTAGCTTCCAAGTGACTAAAAGAAGGATTTGATTTGATTATCTACTAGCATAATCAAAATATATGTTTTACTAAACCCTTTTATGATTTTCAAAAATCCCAGGGTTCTTATAGGGTTCTTGATAATCAATAGGTTATTACATTCAATAATGAAAACTTAGATCCTTAGGGTGTATGCGAATTTAGGGTTTATGTTTTTCCGCCAAAAAATAGTTTTTTTTTGTAACATATAAAACCCATCAAAACCAAGGGTTTGGATCACATAACCAATATTATTAACATCCAATGGGGTCTAAACCCTATTCCCTTGAAGCACAAGACCTTTACTCGATCCATTTATTTTCCAAAATCCCGAAATAAGAACTTCTAGAAATAGGATGTTACACCACACATTGCTAAAACAAAACAACAAGTATATAAATGGAAATTAAAACGCAAATACGACTTACAAATTCAATAAATAATGTTTCCAAATTTTTTAGATTGAAACCCTAGTAAAAAACTTCTTTTTCTTCTTTCTTTCTAGGCTATGAATTGAAGTGTCTCTCAAAGAATGACTGAAATACCGTAATAAAGCAAAACAGAAAAACTACCAAAAGGCAGTTAAATGCATAACACACCCCGTGCCAAATCAATGTAATCTGGCACACCCTGTGCCAAAGGTTAAATACAGTGCCTAAAACGGATGTCTTCCCAAAGTTTGATGCTAAAAAAGTCATGTTTTCATCTGGCACGCCGCGTGCCAACCCAAACAGCACGCCCTGTGCCATTTCTTAAAGGCAAATTTTCACGCCCCGTGTAGTCTCTTGTTGACAGCTCAAACTTCCAAATTTCCAAAATCTTCGTTCCTTACCCGATTGCTTTGAAACTTTCACCATAACTTCTTTTCATCCTCCTAAGCGTTCCCCAATCTTCGGATCACCTGAAATCACCATGAAAATAAGGTTGTTCACCTGAAAAACATGTATTTATTAAAAATACATATGAAATGCTAGAACCTATGAATATTGTGATGCACGAATGAGACAAAAGGTGTGCAAAAGGTACACAAAATGCACCGAAAAATATATTGATTATTCATAAAGTTTATAGTGTATTGGGACAATTTTGCAAGTAAGTTACTATTTCTTTTAGGTGATCGATGCTTAAAGGGTACATGAGTTCAAGAATATAATGTTATATGTTGGTAACCAACTCCATTAATAAAATAACAAGAAATATGTTAAAGTTTTGCAAGTAAGGTCTGGATCTACAAGCTCCAAGACAACCAACACTTCTTCAATGAGCTCATTCTTATCCAAGAGACACCAAGAACACTCCAAAACACTCAAAAGCTCAAGGATCTCACAAATGGGGCTAGGATTTCGAAATTAGGGTTAACGAGGATGTAGGTTGAAGATAAGAAGGGATTCCAATAAGTTAAGGTCTTTAAATAGGGTCCAAGACCCAAAATTTAGGGTTTGCCTCTGACCTGCGTACGCCCAACGTAGTCCTGGTACGCCCAGCATACCACAGAGGAACACCGCGATCAACTTAGCGAAGTACGCCCTACGTACATGCCATGTACGCCCAACGTACTGGCCCAAAACTCATTCCCATTCAAACTTTCACCGACCATAACTTATTCACCCCAAATTCGTTTCGACGTTCTTTATATGCTCGGAAAGGTAATGAAAAGCCCAACAATCCCGTCCAATCCCCTTTGACTTAAAACCTTCCGAACTAGAATCCTTAATTTAAGAAAAGGTTTGAAGCATCACTCTTACCATTATGCCATTGGGCTTCAAAGCACCAACCGAAAGCTAGGATCACACGACCTATATAATTCACTCCCAAATGGGCCTAAAACCATACTCTTTGAAGTCCATGGCCCTAACTCGATCTATTTTTTTGCCCATAATTCCCGAAATAGGAAGCTTCTCGAAACCGGATGTTACACTTACTTTATTTTTGTTTTAATTATATGATAAATTATAATATTTCAAATATCCGAAATTAATCTGAAATGTTTTACAGGTATAATTTGGGGGCAATTGTTAGGGGCCATGATCTTTAACCCTATCCAGGATCCCATATCTTAAAGGATTTTAAGGATCCCGAAACATGCACCAGGATTCTGATTATTATCATTGTTTCCTAACAAGATTAATGACTATATTTCTTGTTTATTCTTTGTTTGTGCAGAAATAGTCAATAAAAGACTCATCTATTCCAGATAATTACTTTAAACTAACTTAAGATCAGGAAGTACCAAGTCAAAGCAACGTGCGAATACTTATTCAAGGGGATTCCGAAAATATCGAATTTTTAGTTATTCAGATTAGACAATAAATACACATGTATAATTCACACTACATACACACACCTAGAGCTACTCAAACACTGGTACTTGTGTTCATATTATCACTTCTGTAATTTGTATTCAAATCAATAAAATCAAACAAGGCAGGTGATCATTGTCACATCCCAAAGTTTTATGTTGGAGATCTTATCAAGGATCAATGACTTTTTTTGTAAACCACTTGTGTCATTTGATCTCAATTTGATACTCATAATAGTCACAACACCACTGTCTCTCATACAATTTGGTTGATATCCATTCGATTTGATTTTTTTACCAGAACAGTAGCCAAACTCCATTAATAAAATAACAAAAAATATGTTAAAGTTGAGTTTCTTTTGAAAAAAAAATAGGTCTAAAACAGGAAAAAAAAATACTAAAGTTAAGGTTTTTTATGGATAAAAAACTCAATTTACTTGTTGGTAACCGACCTAGGGTCTGAAATAAGAAGTAATAGATAAAAATTGGGTCTTTTATGAAAATAAAACAGATCTAAAAAGAAAAGAAAATCAAAATATATAATCTTTAATGGAAAAATGGGTAATAACATAA